GCGGGATCTGATCGTGACAAAACCCTTCGTGCCATCATGAAAAAAAAGGATTATTCATGCCCGGCCTTGCGTTTGGTACAGAGCACCTGCAGCTTAGATGGGCCTTCATGTCACCGCAATCGCACCTGCGCAGTTCCAGGTGGTTCACCTGCGCTGTTCCGATTAGATACCTGGGCCACTAGGGCAGCACGCGGACCCAGCACGTACCACCCGCCTCCAGGAAGCTCCGCAAGGCCTTCTCGATATCCGCCGCACCCCAGTCAAAGGTCTCCGACTCAGCGCGGGGGCGCTGCAGTGCCCTCCAGATGAGCTCCACTGGTGATTTTTTGTAGAACTATTGGCTTTCTTATGGATCCTCTCAAGAAGAATTGGACAACTCTTGAATACAAAATTGCTTTCGGTAGAATTCGTGAGGTCCAGTACTCAGGGGGGCAGTGTCTAGACTGCCTACTGCATTCTACATCGGAGATCGAACAAGCAATCCATATCATCCGAGCGTGCCACGAAGGTCATCACGGCCTTTTCGCTGTCCTGACAACCCGGCTTTGCGAACCTACATGACCCAACAGGAGAAGCTCTTGGATTGACTGGGACCGGAGATCAAATCTCCAAAAGCTTACAAACTCTTCCCGCATCAGGTTCAGATGATTTCAGATGTATTTGAATGGTCACTCTACCTCTCTATCTGGAAGAAGGAGCTGCGATGACAACCTGACGATTGGTCCTCCTTCGGCTGGCCGAAGAACTCCCCAACTGCACTGTAGGGCACCTAGGCCCCGTCGGTGCAGGTCAAAGCTTTCAAAACCGAATCCACAATTCGACCACCTCCTGTTCACTTTATATAGCTGTGCTATACAGTGCCGTTTGTGGAAGATGGTCTTCCATAGTCTTGGGGCCCATGTTCAAACTCTGAAATTGAGTGATCTTGAAGATAAAGATTCCTGCTGGGGATTCTTAGATCAGATTAGCATGTTGGGATCTTGCGAATGTGACTAGGGTGCAAATGCCATTTGGATCCATTTCTTGTGGCCACACCAGTGCTTGCCTGATCTCTAGGCATGGTGCTGGAAGCCACCTGATGTTTGGACTAAAACCAGGTGTTCATCATGCCGGTTAAGAATCATGCTTCGATTTCTGGTCGAAACACGTTTTAGGCTTTAGCGGCTGAATTGGATTGTAAAGAAGCTTCCCAAAGACCCGATCCGCTGATTGACCGGTCAAACGCCGGTGAAGACATGAAGATGAAGAAGCTCTCCCAGAAAACAAGAACAGCAATAAGAGCTAAGCGTCTTGTTCCACCCACACAATATCCATTAAGCTTTTGGATGCTTTTGGTGTGTGGCATGTCTTTCCGAGTATGGTGCCTTCCCTATTGTTTCTCTAGCATCTAGCAGGCCCCCAGCTTGTCTTCGAGTCTTCACGTAGGTATATGTAGGTTTTGTGCTGGTCACTCAACTAGGGCAGGCTATGGAAACATCCACATAGGTCCACACATGACGGGTCACTTCAATTCAGCTCACCCCGCATCCCTCGCGTCAAAGAACAGCTGAATTCTTTGTATGACCGACCATTGAATCCCATCTGCACTTCAACTCCGAGGATACCAGGCCTCGTTTCGCAGTGATTTGGGGTTTAACTCCGTCTCCGAGTCTGTCGTTCAATCCAAGCCGCGACAAAGTGAACGGCACGGAAGAGCCAAATGAGTTTAAACACCTCACCAAGATGACACAAATGAAGGCCAATTGAAGCAAAATTCAAGAGTTGGGTGAAGAGTGATGAAGTGAGGATTGTTGAAGTGTTTGTCGTCTGAGAAGTGCTACATCCAAAGATTCAACAACCTGCATGTAAAACACCATGTTGCAGACATCTTTGGGGGGCCCTGAGACACAAAGGGACTGTGACAAACGACTCACAGCCAGCCAGGGACCAAACCTAACAGTTCAATTGACTGCTGTGTGTGTGTGTGTGTGTGCCGCGTGTACTCGGTGTGCGCTGTTCGGCCAACTCGATCTTTTGAACCAATACCTTGACCGCCACAACGTCTCGCTCTTCAGAAGGCACCCATTCTTCACTGGCTTCCCCAGAAGCACCTGGCATTGAAGGATCCAGGAGTTGTCTTTTTTGTTGTCAAATCAAAAATTGCTTGGCCAAGTGCTCAAGAGTTTGCAGCCATCTGAAGTGGTGCCAGATCTTGAGTAGCCTAGAGTATAACCCTGCGTGGCACAGAGTATGAACCATTCAAAATAACATTGCCAGAGCAGCTCAGAAGTAGCTGTGAGCAGCCCAAGTCACGATTGACACACAATGAGTAGCTTGAGAAGCAAGTCAGTCAAGTAGTTCAGGTTAGCTGAGACCGTAAACCTTGATGACTGTCAACCCTCTTGATGCCTAAGTAGAATGGAAGAACGTGGGCCCACAGCCTGAGTAGAACCAGCTCGGACCTATCAGCTTAGAACTGATTCGACACACCATGTCTCACTCGGGGCGGGCTGAAATCCACCACACGCTTTTCCCGCCAGGAACAAGAGGCGTCTTTCCGCAAAAAGAAAAGGAGGGAGACTTCATGAGTTTCACCCTCACCCAGCCCCTAGCCGTCGCCCACCCGGCCTGGGGGCACTGGGACCACCTCGAAGAGCGGAGACTTCTCGAGAGCTGCCCGGGCCTGGGTTTGGATTGATCCTTGGGTACGGTGGGATGCTGGTCTTTTCTTTTTGCGAGGACGGACGGTTGGTATTCTTTCAGGTTTGATGAGCATTTCACAGCTTAAAAAGGTTCTATTACCAAGCGGTTCCTACACTTACATTTACGACTAGCGGGCTGGTGTTCTGTCTGTGAGATGGGTTCCACCCGCTATGGATTCTGCAGATTTTATGTCTGATTCTTTCAAATCGCCCAGAAACTGGTGGGTCCAGCCTTCTGCTCCAACCTAAGAGCGATGGCATCCAACCTAGTAGCGATGGCCTCCAACCTAGGAGCAATTAATATGATATGTCACAATATGTATGTCACCGTCCCGTCCTTCTTTCCCGCAGCGGCAGCGGCTGCTGGCCTTCTTGGGGCTTTCCTCGATCTTGTTCATCAGCTCCCACAACTCTCGTCGTAGCTGCCACCTGCGAAAATTTAAAAAATCGAACCGGAGACGGTGTACCATATGATGATCGTGGCGTCTTCTGCATGATTGGCAAGAATGAGCCGCAAAAGTATACTCCATACGTTCTTTTGAAAAGTCACTATACAAGAGCAATACTTGCAGGTCCAATCAAAGATTTGGCTGAAATCATTAAACAAAGCTAATTGACTAGCAAGTCGAAAAATCGCAAGCTCTTGACACAGTCACAGCACGAAGCAGTCACGGTCTGTACAGTCTTCAGCTGGTCATTGCCAGCCCGTTGCAGTCTCATTCACTGAGACGAACAGTGTAAGAAGTGACTGGCCAGTTCGGCCACGACAGTCTTACTGACTCAAACTCACAGGGATGATACGATATGATACGAAGCATATATTCTGTCAGAAGTCTGTGGCTGCATCCGAGTGACTAAGCAATCATGCATCCGCAAGCTGACCGGTGCCACCGCACCCCATCACTAGTGCTATCACCAGCAATGTCACGAAATCCGACCTGGAAAGCCATTCTGCCTGGTGCAGCACCAGCCTCCAGCAGCAACTGCACGACTGAGGAGTGGCCATTCACAATTGCGAGTTGCAAAGCAGTTTCCCCAAACTTGGTAAACATGTCAAGTGCGGCTCCAGCTTGCATCAAGAGCTGCACCACTTCGAGATGTCCATTCTGCGCAGCTAAGTGCAACGCTGTGGCTTCATCGCAGGGGCGCACTGCATCTTTGTCTGCTCTAGCCTCCAATAACAGCCGCACAATTTCGGCGTCGCCTCTGGTAGCCGCCAAATGCAGTGCAGTCTTGCCATTTTTGTGGGGCTTACCAACCTGAGCGCGATATTTCAACAACAGCTTGGCCACCTCCTCATAGCCTTGTTGAGCAGCCATGTGCAAAGCTGTGGTGCCATGAAAAGGGACCTTATCAAGATCAACTCCAGCTTTTAGCAAGAGCTCCGTGACTTCTTTGTCACCCTTCCAAGCTGCCATGTGCAAAGCCGTTGCTCCGTTGTCTGTTCTGGTCACTTCTTTGTCTACACCAGACTCCAGCAAGAGCTGCACCACGTCGGAATGGGCATTCTCAGCCGCCAAATGCAGAGCAGTGGCTCCCGCATCTTTGTTGACACAATTTTTATTTGCTCCAGCTTCGAGCAACAGCTGCACCGTATCCAGCTGGCCTTTCCCAGCGGCCAAATGCAAGGCTGTCGACCCGGAGTTGGTGACCTGCTCAAGGTCTGCTGAGGCCTCAAGTAGCAGTCTCACAATTCTTGAGTGGCCATTGATCACGGCCTGATGCAAGGCCGTTTTCCCATATTTTGTCACCTTGTTGGGATCGGCCTCAGCTTTTAGCAAGAGCCGCAGCAATCCCCCATGACCTTCAAAGGCTGCAAAGTGCAAGGCCGTTTCACCCGCTCGTGTGAGCCGGTCAACCGATGTGCCCAGAAAGGTGCCGAGCAGCCGCTCGAGCAGTTTCCGGTGGCCCCTCATAGCAGCCCAATGCAAAGCAGTGTGCCCAGTCTCCTTGGATTTGCATTCGGAAGCCGGGAACAAACGAAAACATGTTCCCCAATAGAAGATTTAGGGAAAACAAAAAATCCCATTAAGCAAAACCAAGTCTCAGTAAGTTCCACATTTCGAGCACCATTCTCAATCAAGAGGACCCCAACCTCCCAATGACCCTCCTCGAAGGCCAAGTGCAAAGCGGTCTTCCGAGCAAAGGTCGGCTTGTCCGGAAAGGCATCAGCCTCCAGTAGCAGCTGTACGACTTCAATGTGGCCTCTGTGCGCTGCCATGTGCAAAGCCGTTAGGCCATACCGGCCATGCCCCTGCTCCATATCCACTGTAGCATTGGCTTCAATCAGTAAACGCACACACTGCGCATGCCCGGCTGAAGCTGCAACATGCAGACTTGTCTTGCCACTTTGATCTGCCAGATCTGGGCAGTAAAGTTTCTGGAGTAGGGCTTCGAGTTCTTCTGGGGAATTCTGGGAACATGCTGCAATCATACTCTTGAACTGGCTCGCGCGAGGTGCCACATGGTTCACTATCATCAGCTTCAGGGTCGAAGGGAATCTGAGCCCCGTATCATCTGCCAACTCAATCTGCTCCTGGAGGCATTTCTGCCGGAACCTGGAGGTGCCCAACTGCTTAGCCAACTGAATCTTCAGAGACTTCACAGAAAGGTGTCCCGTCTCCTCCGTCTCCGGCCCCCAACTGCCCAGCAGCTCGCCGGAGAAGGCTGAGTAAACACGAAGCATCACCGTCGCCACACGGGCGACGGATGTGAAGTCACATCCTACTGGGCTCTGGTTCGAGAGAATAGGCAGAAAACAGGCAAAGAACATAGATAAAACAAAGCTGAAAGTCAAATGCACCCCAACATGTTCGCCAAGTGGTGCAACTATGTGCAACTCAGTTTCTGCAAACTCCAAAAAGAGGTCGCTCCGGTTCCTTCGACAAACTGTCTTGAATGTTCGACAAACCGTCTGGCTGTTTCCACTTCCAGGCCCCATCCAGGCCCCTGGCTGTTTCTGCACTCGCTCCAACTCCGCTGTGGCCATCTTGTCACCTGACCCACGCAACACAAAAAGCGCGCGCCGCTCCTTGGGAACTCGAAGGGTGGAGCCACCGTGGATCCACAGTGGCCTCAGGTTTGAAGGAAATGGATGAGATATGATGAAATGAAGAGGCTAGGTTTGGTGAATTTCTGAGGATTTAGATGAATCCACAGAGTGACTGAGTCACATCCTGCACCAACGGCATTTTGTGATTGTCAAAGAGCGTGTTGCCAAAGCCCAAGACCTAAACGCCTGGTTTTGTGTTTGTGATGTTTCTTCAATGTGTTCGATGTTCAGGGTCTTTGATCCGCACGAAACAAACAGGTTTCCTCTTCAATCCATGAAACCCACATCCCGACCTCATCCAGGAAAACACCCACATCCCGACCTTCATGGAGGTCCTCAAAGGCACGAACAATGCGGGTCAAGACCTTGCGGCTGGCAGCTGGGCAGCCAGGGCTGGGGTTGACGTTGGGGTTCATCGGTTTATCGTTATATACCCCGGTAGGAAAGTATAGAGGTGAAGTAAAACTCTGCAACAACATCAAAAGGGTGAAGCAAGACCAATCAATTGTTGTTCTCTTCTTCCTTCAAGCAGGATGTGTTGGTGGCACCTGCTTGTTTACTCTTGCTGGTGAGCGTGTGCAAATAATGACGAATGCGTCAGGATAGGTCTACTCTACACTAGGATGTGGCGGGCCAAATGCTCAGGATGTATGCGATGTGTCATCACTCGACCCTTGCCCAATCATGTGACGTCTGTAGAATGGAGTTTCCACAACGGTGAACACGGTTAATGGATGTTAATGCATCCTCTCAAAGCCCCAAGTTTGCTCGCTCTACCATATGGTTGGTGCTCAAGGATGTTCAAACTATCGGTAGGTTGCACAACGAAACTATGATTCAACTGATCTCTTTTAACGCCGGCCCACACAGAAATAATCAAATACGCATGGTCAAACTTGCGAATGGCCAACGGCTTCCGTCCTCATTGAACCCTCCATATCATACATATTTAAAATCATTTATCTTAAATGAACTTAAATGGATTTAAATCGCGGATTTGGCTTCTGCTGGTTATTCGTTCCATCGATCCGGCCCGATGTGTCAATTGAGCTCCCCGGCCGCTGAGCAAAGCTGCATCAAATGTGCGGGCAAGGGTCTTTCACTGCTGGGTGGCCTCAGGAGCCAGCAGATTTGGAGCTTGATCAACACTCGGGGTTTTCACCCAAAAAAGCATAGCTTCGGAAGGAATGTGTCGTATTTTCGTCCACTTCTTCCATTCCTACGCTGTGTGTTCACACGAACAAGTCCGACCCAAAGCACGGGCAAGGATTGGGGGCAGACGATGTCTGCAACTAAATGGGCAGGAGCCCCTAGTAGCGTCCTTGCTCCTAGTAGCGATGCCAGGAGCCCCTGGTAGCTTCTTGTTCCTAGTATATAGTAAGGCCAGGAGCCCCTAGTAGTGTTCTTGCCTCTGCAAAAATTTGCAACTAACGGATATGATATGGCCGATTATTGGGCCGTTGCAAGCAGATGCCTCATATGACCCAGGTTCAAGTGCGCTCATCTTACAAACGACGGACTGCGAAATCTTGTGTTTGAACAAAGACTTTGAGTTTGACCAAACCACATCCCTTGTGCCTCTCGGTCACCAGCTGCACGGCTTTCCCCGCCATCTGGCGTTGTTCATGCGTTGGGCTTGCCCCTCCGGAAACTAGGAGAGCAACACTCAATTGGTTCAGAACTGAGTATCGCGAAGGTCATCCGCCCCTGGAGATTCAAGCCGTGTGCCTTTAGAAGGGGGAAACCTTGAGGATCATGGTGTACGTACTTCCTTGCCCCACTACTGAAAAGAGATCTAGAAGACCACAACACCCGTGCCAGTCAAGTCCCAACCAGGCCCTCCCAAGTGTAGCACTCCATAGATCGGGCAACCGCTCGACAAAGCACCAGATTCTCCCTCAACTGATATGCAACCGCCTCGAAGAACATCAACATCCTTTTGCCCACTCTTGCTAGTTTGAGAGTCAAGGTATATAACTTGCCAATTGTGAAACAAACACCTTGTAGAAGCGACCACTGTTTCGTTAACCGACTTTGTGATGACGCATTCTTCTCACCCGCAGCCATGGCCATGGCCTGCTCCAGGAGAGGTGGACGCCGCCAATCCCCATCGAAGGAGAACCAAATTGTTTGCACCTCAGAGGATGCCAACCCTGAAAACCATCGATGCCTCACAGATGAATCAGCTGGCTGGTTGACCAAAAACAGCTACTGTAAAATCTATCTGGCGAAGATATTAATTGCCCTGCAGATCCCTGCAGGTTGTACGGGTTGCATGCTTGTTTTGGGATCCGAGAAAGAGGCTGCGCCACCCCGTGCGGAGCGGACACGTTTCGTCTGAGAATCTGCACCAGGCTGGGCTCCAGCAAGTCATAGAGCGACTCGAGGAGTAGCCTCAGACGAAAGAGGAGGACTCCGCGCGTCCAGGTCGAAGTGGTTTGTTGGTTTAATGAGCCAAGTCACTAGTAGCTTCTTGTTACTAGTAGTAAGGCCAGGAGCCCCTAGTAGCGTCCTTGCTCCTAGTAGCGATGCCAGGAGCCCCTAGTAGCGTCCTTGCTCCTATAGTTTGTTTGTTTGCTTGTTTCGCTTTCTCTAAGGGCTCCAAGCCCCAAGGCCTGTGATTCAGTGTTCTATAGTGGCTTCCAGTCCATTGAGTCCACTCTCTTTGGACACACCGCATGTCCCGGGTCCGAAAACATGAAGACGGACCGAAAGCAAAGGATCCACTGCCAACCAACCCAGGCAGTACACGAGCAGTATGTGGATGACCAACATAAAGTTACATGGAAACTGGAGGCATCTTCAGGTCCTTTCATTTGCAGCTCAGAACCCCTATAAGCACTCAAACAGTGCATATTATTGCGACACATGTCTGAGCAAACATGAAATATGTCGATTAACAATCACTGGAACTCCTTCTCCGTTGGTTTGGTCCTTTCCTGCACATCAACGACGTCGCTCGGCTTCCAACGTTTGAATCGCCCCGTTGGGAGACCAACCAACCCCTGTCGGTGGCGAGACGTTTTGGCTTCCCGGCTCGACCAAATGCACCGCCTGAACGGGCTTGGGAGCCCCCGGTGGTGTGCACTTCTGTCTTCCAAAGGTGTTCAGTTTGAGGCCATTGCAAAACCCAAAGTTTGGGGCTCATTAGTTCCGGTGAAGACAAGCGATGAGACCAAATGGTCAACCCATCCACCTGGTATATGGCAGCAAAGGAATCTGGGAACCACCTTTTCATGCAAATGTCGGGAGGTTATGGGTTTTTGACACAACATGCAGCTTCTGCCTGTCAATGTTCATTGGGGTGAGCAGAAGTGAATAGGATATCTTGAACATCTGCAAGTCTAAAGAACAGGATTCATCACTCCCATCTCACAGCACAAGTAGCCTGAGCATCAGTTGTTGCCACTCTGCATTGGGCATGTGATTTACCCGAAGACATCCCAACAAAGGTGTGGTTTTAGCATGTTTTGGCCAAGAAAAAGTAAACCAAGAAACGCCTTGAAGGAGTCAATCCCTGTTGAACCTACAGTTGATGGAACCCACCTAATTCCATCCCCCCAAGAAAATAGATCTTCATGTACCAAAGGGTCTTCATCAGGTGGTCTGGACTTCTTTCTGACCGAATAAAGCACAGTCGAACATTAAAGGATATTAAAGCATTTAAAAGCGTCCGCCACGTTCGTCACGTCCGTCACGCAGCGTGCGCCGCGTGCGCAACGGTCTCCTCCTCCGGGGTCACGGTGAGGCTTGTGGCCGCTTCGGCCCGACCGAGCAGGGGAGCAATCTGAGCCGTCGCGACTCGGGAATGATTCCGTGTGAGTTGGAAAAAATAAACACGCAGATAACGCAGCACGGCGATGCATGAACTCAGCGCAAGTTCACCGACATGAAACTTCACTGTAAAAGCAGGTCAGTTCACCCATTGAGTCGAGTGTCTCCTGATTGTTGCTCTGTCGCAACTGCGCCATTTCGGGACGCTTCCCCAAGCTGCGAACCCGTCACCGGCTGAAGGTCCGGGCGGCCAGTTCAAGGCTGCGAATGTAAACGCCTTGGCACGACCAAGTTCGAGTCTCTCAAGAAGGTTTTAGATGAGCGTAGCCATCGCTAGTAGGTTTGGGCACTACCAGCCCACTCTTCCATCGCGTGTGGAGGCTGTGGAGGTACTCAGAATGTCTTGATCCGGGCAACTTGTTACGATTGTCTTCCATCGGTAATGTCTAGAGTCTAGATTGCTGGACTATACACCTGATACGAGTACATCCTTGGAATGCTGGGACAATTTGGGTGTGACTCAAGAATATGTTTCAGGAGACCTTGTTGAAGCGCAAGGACGACAATCTGTGGCCCCTCTGCACTTGATGATACAACTGTCGACCTATTGTTTCGACTGCACCAAACCAAGAGCGCTGCCCGAGAGCAAACCATCCACCTGCCAGAATCAACGGACTGCAGAAGTCAGGATCAAGCCAAATTTCATTATGTATATATATATATAGTATTTTTGTGTGTTTGCTTCTTGTCATACTCAGAGTACCCTGAAAATCACCCAATAATTCAGTCAACATGCCAACTTAGAAAAACTAAAATACACATGAAGGAGTTTCTTGAAGCCAGACGGTTACAAATGCTGGATGAACAGGGAAAATGTGGACTACGACAAACTTTAGTTCAGCAACATTGTCAGGATGGAGACTGCATGATGCCCTGAGGGGTAGGATTCCAAATGTCCCAATCCATTTTCTGCATTTCCTTCACACACTTTCGGAACTCGTCTTTTTCCCAACTCCCTGCCTGCAAAGCTCCTAGAAGGCCACATCCTTCGCCCTCCTCGTGATTTGCCGTAGGCTGACGTGACAGAAGTTCAATTGTGGTCTCCTTTCCACCCAAGGAATTCGTCAAGGAATGGCTTGTTGGAAGCAAATCCATAGCTGTTGAAGGATGTTGGAGGATTGCACTAAACTAGGATTGTCATGTCTTCAAGTCTCTCACAGGACCTCACAAGATCCACAAGATTTCTCGGTTATGTTTTAAGATGAGAGGCTCCTCGAATGTACAGGTAAACATAAACCAGCACATGTTCCAAAGTCTTAGTAGCTCCACATGTTTCACAGGTTTCAAGCGGTAAAAGATAAAGTCAGCCTTAACTTACTACACTCCGACTCACTAACATGGAAGTGGAAAACCCACTGTTGGTAGAGGAAACTCATCTTCCAATGAACCATGTTCAATACCTTTTCCACTGCTGCACCGCCATGAGCACCTGGTCGGCCCAGAAGTCCACGCAGAGCCACATGATGCGATTCACCACCTCGAGGGATTGTGGCCGGTCGGGTCGTCAGCAAGGTCAGGTCATGCGACGAGGTTTGCGGCTGGAGGAAACATCGCTGGTGCCGATGCTCAACTCTTTTGACGTCCACAAACAACAAGGAGGGCACTCACTGAAAGCTTTGAAGGCTCCAACCCAGCAATGATGCTGGCCCTGATCGAACAAGTAAAAACTTTCTGGACAAAACAAATACGATTGCTTGATGGTTGTTTGGCTTGTTGACGTGATTCATATTCAATTATATACTTGAGAAAGGCACTTATACATGTTGGATTGCCTTGAGATGATCAGGAAAACACATTCACAGTAGAAGCCGTAGAAGTCACAAGCTTAAGTGTGTATGTCTATTGCTGTTTCTGTGATTGCTTGTGTTTGGGTTCATTTTTGTAGAAAACCCTTTTTGAATCTGATGTTCCAGTCCTTCCTTGCCTGTGCAAACAGCCCGTGTTCCGACAAATCATGGCCACTGGTCGTCCTCGACAGGAACAAACTGCCAATGACCCGCCCAAAGCCACCGGCAGCAGTAAGGTTAGCAACGGCGAGCTTCCAGGGAAAAGCTTGCAAAAACCTTGGCTGTGCATGGTCTGCGTTGTTTGAGGCGGCCAGAACTTCCATTTCTTCGAAGTAAAATGAAGTAAACATGGTAAACAGTCTCAAATGATCCAGCTGGACTCACCCAAGGATTGCTAGGCTAAGCTGCTTAGCTGCTAATCCTTCATCGTTGCTCCAATCCCGCACAGCCATCCATTTCTTGGGTCAATGCTCAAAGGATGTCAAAGCTTTCAAGTCCCCAGTTCAGCTGCCGGAGCCAACATGCATGTTGGAGCCAGGCGCTGAGTGAGCTCCGTACGAATGTTTCACGACCAACTGTCGATGTCAAATCCACTAGCCAACATCCAACGTCTTTTCGATCACCACAAGACACCTACGAATGGATGATTCAATTGTTCAGTTTTCACAAGCCTCAATGAAATTCCACAAACATCGTTGCTTGGGGCTTCATACATGTCATACCCATCATGATTCGTCCTGACACTGAGCTCCCATGCTAAGCAAGAGCAGTGGGATGTCGTTCTGCATGAATTTCCCCTCACGCAGAGCGCCGAGAACCTCTTCCGGTCTCACCCGGTGTGGCAATCCTCTCATCCCTCTCAGAATCCATATTTGGAGGTCTTGTTTCTCTGCCAGAATTCACCAACACAGCTCTGTTGTGTGTTTGTGATACCGGGGATGTTCACCGATGCCATGTGAGTTGTTTTGGTTTCACACACCGAGCTCGTGACGCTCTCACGTCGCCCTGGTCGGTCCTCCATCACCGACCCATCCAAAGAAACGGTCCAACGGTGTACACCGAATAACATGGCCTGCTCGGACATGGCCCAACGCCGACTGGTAGGGTGCATCACCTGAGAGGGATCAGGAAGTTCCGGGAACATCCAGGGAACATGTTAGCCAACCATAAGTAGGTTGGAGGCCATTGCTAATAGAAACAAAGAAAAAAGAATAGGAAGAAAGGTCTAATACTTCAGGATCTTCAGGTCCTGGGAGCCATCTCTGGGCTACGAATGCCAAAAAATGCCCCGGTCATTTTTTTGCGACCTATTTTCATCATGTGGCCGAGCGGCCAGTGGCCCAGTTGACCTCGGTCAGCAGCCCAACGACCCAAAACTGATCTGTCGCCCAGCTGAGCTTCCGACTAGTCTCTGGATGCATCGCAAATACCTTGCTTGAGCTGAGCTTGTAACAAGCCCAAACAACGAATGTGATGTACTTCGTTATAAGTTATAAGTATTGACATTGGTCGTCCTACTTGGAGTTTCATGGTCTAGAAAGGAAAACAACATCTTGCACCACCTGGGAGACCAAAAGTGCACAAAGAATACAATTTGAAGGGCGCAAAAGGCTCGAACAGCGGAGAAGGCTGCTTCTTTGAGACCAAGGTGCAGCAATGCACGCTCAATGGGCATTCCAGGCCTCAAGCAGCGGACTTCGTTCAGTCTCCAGGAGGATGTGCCCCCACACTTAGCTCAAATTCCTCGTGGCGTTGTACAGTCAAGAAAGGGCATTGAACATGGAATAACAATTGACCGACATGTACTTGAGCACCAACTGTTTTCAGAGAGTCAGAGAGATAAGAACTGTCCAAACAAACGCGAAGTAAGAAGAATGCACCATCGGTTTCCAGATTGTTCTGCCTTCTACCTTTGTCTTCCGTCAGTCTAAGAAGTGGGGCAATCTGTGTTCAATGAATTCTGAGTGAAATAGTTCTTCATGTATCTTAAATATCCTTCGAGCTGATCTGGGAGCCTCTATGGTGCCTTGGCTCTGGCATCCAATCTCGAACAAGAACCAAATCCTTTACTCTTATGAACCCCAGTCCAGGCCATAGGCTGGAAAACAAAGGAAAAAATAGATTTAAATAAAGTCCATGAAAAGCTGCCAGATATATAAATGTTCAAAAAGATTTTAAACAAGTCAACCAAGAAACAACCTGCCAAGAAGCATTGCGAGAAAAGTAAAAAAGGAGTTGAGGAGCTGCCAGATGAGAAAAAACATGACTTGCTGGCTTTGTTCTGGATAAACAGACCTGATAGGGTCACAAAGAGACTAGTCACTAGTCACCAGTGGAGTAAAGTTTACTCCAAGGCACTCAGCGTCTGAAGCCATCATGCCTGGAGGATCCGACACGGCAGGACTTCTTGACCAGACTCTTGAGTACAAAATGACAGTCAAATATATAATAAGTGTTGATGTTCATGCCAAACCGGGCTTCAGCCTTTTCCCAAACAAAAGGGGACCTCCAAGTCTCGGGAGACCATAGAAATCCAGCCGAAGAAAGTTGGTCTACCAGTCTATCCAGGTGGGGCTTACATCGTGACACAAACAGAATCCCACCCGAAGGCACAAACTTAATCTCATGTCTCAAGGACGGGAGTCAGAAAAAAGACTCGTGAGGGGAGTCGTTGAACGTCCACTGCCTAACTCGTTACTTGCAGTGTCTTTTTGCAGTTCGTTTGAGACAGTGAGAGACCTTTAAAGGCTGGAGGCAAAGCCGGTCGGCCTGGTCGCCTTGGCCCAGTCCCCCCGGCCCAGCTGCCTAAGATCGCCCGGAGAAAGTCCGCACGTGCCTGGCGTGCGGCGAAAGCTCGATTTGTGGGACTCCATCTGAAAAGGAACGTCCAACCTACTAGCGATCACCTCCAACCTAATAGCGATAGCCCACAATGAAAGACCTCCTATAAGGTAAACTGTCTATAGATCATAGTGCTGGAACTAGTGCTGGAATTTAGAGTGTCACCTGACAATGTCTCACCGAACTTGACATATAGATGTGAACTGTATGGGCTGGAGAAAGTACAGTAACAAATATACTCACATAACCTAGGCAAAAAAATGGTCTACACTCTGCTGCTGATCCATGGATATGTTTTATTTGCTGCTGAATGGGGGACTGCATTGCAAAATGCAACCTTCCCCCTGTACCATGCAACTGTGGCTATGTTGGCTTGACATACACTACTCACTACTCAACTCGACTCAACCTCAGAGACGCTTGAAACTTGAAAAGCACTGCGAATGCATAGCAAGCAAACATCCAAACCAAACCTCCAGTTGGCTCGGCTAGTCTGGACCAGAAGAATAATGACAACAGTTGAAAAGCATCTGGTATTTGGCAAACTCTGACCAAACTCATCAAACCTCGGCTACTTACGCACCGAAGTCGTCCTTAAACGTCTGATTCCCTGTATGTGTGAGCCGAAGTTGTTGGTCAAATCACCCACTACCACCACCCATCCACCTCTGGGATGCTGTCGGAAGGGTGGATGTTGGGGTTCCCTGGCAAACAACCTGGACTGATTGTTTGACACGGGAATCTCCTGAAAATATAGTTGAAAAATGCTATGTCCAACATTATAGCAACTATGTCCCTTAAGCGTCCTTCTGATTCTTAAACGTTGCCCACAATGGCCCTCTCCTCAACCAGGACCCTGAGATCTTGCTCTGCCCTAATCTCGCTGGCGCGCACCGGCGAGGTGAGATCCACCAAGGCGAAGTCCAACATTCGCTGGAGTGTGGCCTTGGTGCCACGGCAGGAGCTCTTCCCGTTGCTCCGGGGCCTTGGGTTCTTCTTGGTCTGTGCACTCGGGCTGATGCTCAAAGTACGAAGATTGGATGGTTGAAACTGTTGGAACTGTTGAAACATCCTCGAGCTTCTTCCAGGCTGTGCTCTGGCTGTCCAGGCTGGGAATGATTGAAACATCTTCAGGTACAAAAAAAAACCTTCACAAATGGCCCCGCCAGGACCTGTGGAGTGAGCTTTGCTCTCTCTCTCTCTCTCTCTCTCCATGACTCTGGACTCTGGTCCATCCCATCAAACGACACCTGTGCCCTGCCTGCGCAGACGCTCGCAAGGTGTGGGACTGGCGATAGTGGCCCCAATACTTCAACACCTGCGGTGGAAGGTGCCCTCGGAAGGCTTAGAAGGCTTAGCTGGACTAGAGGATGTCACATCTGCCATCAGCATCGTCAGCCCTTCTCAAGAGAAGCACCTTGGACATACCCTCAGCATAACCCAAACCCATGCCATCAGCATGACCATAACCGGTCATGTCTCTCTTGTCTCCTGGACAGTCATCTTAGTCCTGCCAATGGCAACAAAAACTTCAGCTGAGGTGAAGTGTTTCAGGACTGACTGCTTCCTCACCCCAAGAGATGTGCAAGTCTGTAAGCCCTGTCTCATCCCCGGACAGCCTGCGTGAAGGCTCGCACACGGTCCTCGCAGACAGCCCAGCGAACAATCAGGAAATCTTCGCACTTGGAGAGCTCTGAGAGGAGGTTTGCTTGTGGACTCTTCTTCATGAGCCCTTGCTCTCAAGCACCTCCAAAATCCTGGCGTCCTCGTAAAGAAGCAGTTGCGGGGGTCCATTGAGGGCTACCCAAAAGTGGAACTTCTGAAGTGGTCATATGCACCTCCCCTGTCACAAAACATGTCCTATACAGGTAAGCAGCTAAGCTGCCTAGACTTCGAGCTTAAAGCACATCGCAACTCCCTAAGCAACACTCCTTCAGAGATGCGTGTCAACCGATCCCAACCAGCTGTCAGGTGTGGGTCCTGCTGGGAGAAGGCATCACCTTGAGCCTGCTGTCGAAACCGTCGTTCATCCAAGGCTGGCCAACCGAAAGACCGGTCTGTCTCAAAATTCAGCAGCTTTGTCAATGGACTTGGTGCCGGCTTTGATTATGATCTTTATGGCATCTTGTGGCATCTTCAATTGGGTAAGTGGCGAAGAGGCAAAGCCCAGGATATGAATTAGGGTGTTCAGTAGGTTTCCCCAAGCACTTGAAACTCGTCCAACTCGATTTGTGCAGATCTTCGCTCGGATCTGCAAGCGAACTTTAAGGAACTTGGCTCTCGCGGTAGGTCATGGGATGCCATGGGTTGCCACGCTTTTGGGAAGAATTGTCCTACTGTATCCATCTTTATCCACTGAATCACAGTTTAAAACTTTTCACTCTGCCGTCAGTGAAAATGTAAAGGCACCTTCCGACCTTCCATAGTTTACAGTCAGGTGTGAACAATTGGAAGACAATAAACAACCAAAGGCGAAGACAGAACCCTTTGCAATTCGAATGACTTCAACAAAAAAAATTGATGAATGGACAAATGAACACTGCCCTCCAGCCTCCGCAGGCATATCCCTCGGAATCGCGAGGGTGGGGAGGCTCTGTGGGTTTGATAATGACGACAACGCGACAAATTCACCCCTTGATCCTACATGGTTGGGTGTACTTAGTAGAGCGGTATTGGAGTTTGCATGAGCCTCCTTAGGCATCCTCTGGGTCTGCACCCAGATGCTCAAACACACGAAACATGAATCTTGTCCAACTTCCAACTCATCGGTTTGTGGCTTGCGCTGTTCCAAATGCCTGGTGAATTTCACAGCTGGTGCTGGTTCTGAGGATTGGACGGCGCAGCAGAACAGCAAAGACCTGGCGATGGATATCTTTTTGGTCGCACAAATCTCAAGACTCCATCGCCCCGGCAGAAGGAGATGACCTTTCCCACCTGTCCGATTTTGGAGAAGCACACGACCGAAGGAGTCTCAACCACCTCTACTCAGCTCATGCCAGTGGGGGCGGTGTCGGCGATTCAACCTCTGTCCGCCCCTTCCAGCCTACCAGGGCAATCATCTGGGCAGCGGTGGCCTACAGATTCACCAAGCAAAAACAGTATAAACGATCTGGTCGGAAACGACCCATAGATAGAATTTTACCGATGGACTAAATATAGTTAATTGATGTTAAATGCAGGTAAGCCGCACAAATTCGGGGGCCTGGTGTGACTAGGTGCTATGAAAATGGAGATGGCTCCTTGCTGATCAAGTTCATAGCTACCATCGTTCATCGCAGGGAGTGTGGTACTTGCCAAAACGTTGCCAAAACTGGTCACAAAGGGGAAGCGCCCAGTCCATGTGGGCCATATCTGTTTGATTTTGGCACTCCGCCGCCAACCAGGAAGGCCCTGAGAGTTCTCCCATGAACGTAGCCGCCCGGGCCTCGTCGGTCTGTGCGTTGGTCTCCTGACTGCTGAACAGCCTCGTGTCCCTTGTCACCAAACTGGTTGATACGTGTGACATGAATTCTTACATAAACAGGCATACATAAACTAACATCGTCTCATCATACAGAAACGTGAGTCAATTATAAGAAACGAGAGGCAGCACTCGAATCTACTCAACAAACTATCAACACTGCAGATACTCTCAGAATCAAGTACACAATATCCTCCATGCCAGCTGTCGTAAGTGTTTGTGGCCCCAAATGAGGTCCGGACGAAAACAAACAGACCGCCATTTAAAACTCTACCCGACATATATAAAATATCATGGAATATAATAAATATATCATATATATTATATATACACTAAAAATATCAACACGTGAGGCACAGAAGACAGTGTCGGACGAGTTGGGAAGCAACCAATACCACTTGATTGATAAAGCAAACGCTTAACTCCCAGCCTCAAAGACGCAGTCACAGGCAGCTCGGCAAACCTCTGCTAAGGTGCTGGCCAGATGCCTCGCAAGATGGGATGCTAGCATCCAGAATTCGAAGACATGTTTTCCCAGCTGTTCGCTGTTTCTTGGGGGTGGGACACAGAGTGAAGTTCTGTCGATGCTGAGCCTTGACGGAAAAAATGAGAGGAAATGATCTTTTCTGGAAGAGGGGAGGATTTATCTAAGAAGTTTCAGATCAAAAATGAAATCAAAAACCTCTTGGACAATATTTCACAATATGTCCATTCGTCGGAGGCGTCCATGATTTGCAAACGTTCCCACCATCTATTCACTCCAGGATGAGTTTTATGCAGAACAACCTGACTATGGGCGTCCGAATCGGGAGACACCATATTCCCTGGGCAACATAGAACAGTAGATTAGATAGAATCAATTTGGTTCGGAGGTTTCCACAGTTCGAGATTAAACCGAGGGTGACCCGGTTCCGAGATTCCTGTAACCAACACCTTTGAGCAATTCACTTTCGAGCGGAGCCACGATGTCGGTGAGGTCCTCTGGTCTGTAATTCGGACATGATGTTGGCTGTGCAAAAGCACGGCAGTCAAAGCGATCATAATTAACTGAAAACCAGCGACCAAGCATCGGCATTGAGCTGTTGAAAGGCGTCCGACCGCAAAGAAACCTATACAATAAATTCAGTCTTTGTGGCAATGTAGTCTGTTTCCAACCATCTATATCACATTCCGGCCCTCCGAGAAACAAGTTTAAGTCTCGCCTCAGCTGTTCTGCAGTTTGATTCCTAGCCATGCAGACAAGTCCCCCCTCGTGAAAGTAGGGATGTGGATTCCAAACCAACGCCAATAGGCTAGAACATCCACTTGGAGTTCCTTAAGATCCACATGGTTCAAACAAAAGCACAGCAAGCCCTCCCGGTACAAATTCCCAGGAGACCTTGAGAACAAACCTTGAAACCCAGGAAACAAATCGAGCACAAAACCTCTGTGGTTGTAAGTTCTTATGAACATTACCCCCAGAAGTATCAATCAAACACCATGTTCATCTAGTCAACACGTGAAACGGCAGCTCCCAGCTGAGACAAACCAAATAAAATCATGCTGCCTGGCTCACAATCGTTGTGAATCAGTGAATCATGTCAAATAGATGCAAACATTTATCGCCGAGTCGATTCCGTCTACGCAAACATTTATATCAGTCCCCTGAATGCAGCCACTGCATTTGGCTCCGTTAGCTCCGTCGCGCATGAAACCGTCCCTTGGTCAGCTGTAGCTGCAGTGGGCAGTCCCGAACAAGCACAAATCACTTCGACTTGGTCCAACTTGGTCCACCATCCTTGCCCCTCCATCCTTCTCCCTGAGACCCTCGGGTCTCCTTTGCTCTTCACAGAGCGCCACCACAATGTGTTGGGTCGCCTGGCAGATGGCGCTTCTCTGGGCTTCACCAGACCGTTTCCAGTGGTCGGACCGGTGCTCCATGGGACTCTCCATCGGTTCACCCATATTTCGAGTGCCAGGATCCCTGGTTCGATCCAGCACCAATCAACTAGGCTTTCTTGGAGCCTGAAACACCGATGGTCGATCCCTGAAACGCCGGTGCGATGGGGAATTGATCGCCTCAAAGTCTCTAACAGCAGAATCTGGGATGTCCTGGGATGTCCTGGGCGTCTTTCTACTTGATGTGAACTCGAACACTCGCTGATTCCCTCCCTGTCACTTGCTGCCTGCAAGGGATGTGGTGTCACCCCCGTATATATAATAGTGATATCAAATATTATCAAATACTGTATATTGTACGATAAGCACCAATAAGCACTAAAATATACTAAAATAAAAATACATCTTGGATGAGCATTGCACTCAAAAACAACAAGGACAACATTGGATCTTCCTACTAACTATGCGTGTTTGTAGAGATTCGAATCCTGGCCATTTGCATCTACAATCATCCTGGGGCCTCACCGCCTCTCAAACCACAAACACCTTGCACCCCGCTATGCGCACTTGGATGAAGATCTAACTGTGGCTCCAATACCAGCAACTTGGAGTGTGGTGCAGACCTTTGAGTTCCTATGTTGAAAAATCACCCTCCGGGGATTCCCTCGTCTCGAGGTCAGAGTCAACATGTATAGAGTCACTACCAAGCCCTCCAATTCATCCCAAGTCTAGTTCTCCCCCTAAGTCTCAAGTCAAGGCAAAGACACTTCCTTTCTGGCTGTGGGTCATCTCACTTGGTGGTCTTGGAGCTCTTTCAGATCTACATGGCTGTGGGCTGTGGGTCATGGCACCAGGATACCTTGGTAACAGGACTCGTGGACAGGATCTGAACGCTCCCCACACACCCCTTGATACACTCTGGTACAGTATCGGGTATGAAGGGGGTGAACCGTGAAGTAACAAAACATGTCGTAACCTTGGTTGACCGTTCGCTGGTGGGTTCTTCGTTCGCTACATGGAGGGCTTCAGGTTGAACGACCCATCCCACGTCCTGACCTCCAAAGCGACGAAGGTCGCAGGTCCAGCGAAGTCCGCCGAACGGATCACCCGCAGCAGGGGCTCCTGCAGATCGTCCCGACCAGAAAGGAGCGACAATCTGAGAATATGTGAAAATCATATGAAAATCGATTGAAATCCAACAATCCACATTCTGACAATGCCACTGGGCATTGATGTCAAAATACAACTCATTGGACTAGATTAGACACTCATGACTCATGTACATGTCATGTAGATTGATCACTTGGGGGGTCATAGTGACTTTCTTGCACATCATTCCACCACTTCGTTCAGGACGACTGGCAGCTTCTTGAAAATAAAGGTCCGAACAGCCCGGCGACAGTCCAGCAGCTCGTTCGGGCCATGTCCTCGACTCGTTTGAGAGGTCAAAAAAGTATCCAATCCTTCAAAACCATTGTCTATGGAAAGAAGTGTTGAAACATGTTCAAGCGAACAGGACCCCCCACCAAGAAAATCTGTTCATCTGTTGCGCTTCCCTCCAGGAGGTACTTTGTGCTGTCCGCATGTCGGTACATTCGGCCGGTCGATGAGCCGTGGCATACATCCCCAGTGTTCCATCAAGCTTTGTCTGTGCCAAAAATCATGGACAATGAAGATAGTCAGCCTGTAGTGATGCGATTGAAGTGGATCTGTGGGGGAGAATGACTACTAAAGCACTTCGTGACAACGTGACATGCAAATCTTCATGTCACACCTTCACCATTTTACAGCCAAGCACTCCCTGGTCGACTCCGTGGTCATTTAGACTTGGAGAAATGTTTGACAAGAGATTCTGGTCGAAAGATTCAGAGTTCCCTCTCAAAGGGGTCTTGTAGACTTGTAGATAAAAGGATTGCAGGGTCAACCCTGTAAAGCTGGGTGCCGTACACTGATGTCACCAGTATGGCAAGCTACCCAAACAGGATACTATAAGACTCCCTATCAATATGTAGCTTCGGGTGGTCGTCAGTGGTAAGCTTAAAGGCCCAGAAATGATCCAGGGTCGAATTCCAAACTGGCCATTCCCAGCCTGGCCTTGTTTTGCGAGGAAGAGCGTCAAAATTCATGGTATCGTCATTCTGGTTCTGGATGGGGAGTGAGGGTTAGAGTGACACACATCTCTTCTCCGATGGGGATTGGAGGCTCCTACTTTTTGACCCAACCATCAAAACTCAACTGCCAGGCATCCATAGAGCCGCCATGCACAAAGCTGTCGCAAAGGTGAGGACTCCTGGTGGATTTGTGCCCGATGCCAGTGCCACAGCTTGGTCAAACTGGAAAAAAGACAAGGAATCAAACAGGATGCCTCACAGCTGTGGCGCCCGCCATGAAAACATATTGCATTACTAACTACACGCCATGCAGGAAACAGTGGGATCTCTGGGATTCGTTGGACCTCGGACCCGACGTAAGAAGAGACCTTCCACAACTGCCTGCACGTCTGTGTTGCAGACGAAACCCGACAAGGTCGGGATGGAGACCTCCAACTATGATCACTATGGTGGTATTTTGGGGTATCGTGGAGACTGCAGCAATTAGCCTGATGCACCCAAGATGCCTTTGGGATCAAAGCTTGCGTCAATTGCATTAAACTTATGATTTTTACGGGTCGACCAAAGTCATGCCTACGACCAAATGTGTTGGGCTCAAAGGTGGTCACATCCTCGAGATCTCGCCAGCTGCGATTGCCGAAGCGCTTGTTCCCGCGCAGGGCGAAGACCACGCGCTGTGCCTGGCGTGTGGTCGCACAGTTGGGCAGCACAGCACAGAGCGTCAAAGTCTGTGTGCTTTCACTGTGCTTTGGCCCTCTCCGGGATTGCACATGAAATCCACTCCCCCACCGCTTCGGCCTCGCTGCGGCACACGGCTTCCAGGTCCGAGGCCATCGTCGCCGTCGAATGGAGCCGAGTGGGGAGGAAAGCAACTGGGTTTGATATTGCTACTATGGCTTCTTGCTACTAGTAGCGTCCTTGTTACTACTAGTAAGGCACTTGTTTCTACAAGCGATGCACTTGTTCCTGGTAGCTTCTTGCTACTAGTAGTATGGCCAGGAGCCCCTAGTAGCGGTCTTGCTCCAAGTAGCGATGCCAGGAGAGGAGTGGACTGGACTGGAGTCGGGTACCCTGCTGGAATCACCGTCTTTTCGGTGACTGTAGGCGCTTGGAGGTCCGAGGTTTCTCGGTTCACCAGGCAAAGAAGAGACATCCAAGCTGCCTTTTGTAGTTTCCTCTGTGCCAGATCCGGACCTTCTGGTTGGGGTGAAGGATCAGTGGGAGTGATTAAGTTCTGCAGCGGGTTGGGCTGAACTGCTTGCAGTGGCACATGTAAGCTTGGGGATGCAAATGTTCAGCACACTGGATTTGGTCGAAAAACTCCGAATCATGCACTTGAGCCATGAAAAAACTTAGCTGCGTGGCAGCACCATTGAATTCACGGTAGTTAACCCTGTGAGGTGTCCCATCCAAAGGAAATTGACTGCAAATCAAAGTGGACCTGTGTCGGTAGGCCAGACTGCAGGACAGGGCATGCAAGTGAAAGAGCTTGGTGTACGGAGAACATACCAGCAGTTCGCAATCCTCATTGGTGCTCTACGAGTCTTTTGTCGGACGCGTGTGGTGCCGGCGCAAGCATCACCCCAGGACTACATGGACTACATTTCCGAATGGTCACGTTCGTAGTGATGCACCTTGTTACTAGTAGCGTCCTTGTTCCTAGTAGAATGCCAGGAGCTACTACTAGCTTCTTGCTCCTAGTAGCGATGCCAGGAGCCCCTAGTAGCGTCGTTGTTACCAGTTAATTTTGGTGTTGGATCGACTTGTTGCCTGAGTGGTGGTAAGAGAACGCCATGGTGCCTAAGTGGAGGCACCGGCAAGGCAATGAGGCTCCAAAGGACAACTGATTTTTGACAATTTTGATAGCACTTGTTCTCACAGAGAGGATATCGGTGAACAAATTGGCAAAATGGAATCTGCGAAAGCGCACATGCTTCTTGTAAGGTGGTCGAGGGATGTCTCTTCCTTAGGTCTGTTGGAAGGGGCGTGGTTTTGCTGGGATGGAGCTGTTCAGCAGCTCTTGGGCACGCAGAGTGGCTTCCGTGGCTTCCGCGAGATCGGATGAATACTTCTGCACCGCGATGCGAAACACCATGGAGCAGTGTGTTTGCGGCATTCTCGCTCTGAGGTTCATAGACGTGGGAACCACGTTTTACTCTATCTTTAGGTGGTTAGTAATCGGTGCCAGTGACCTGGCCACTGGCTCGACGATCGGCTGGATGAAGCGCAACAATTTTGGTGCTACCCGAGATGGAGAACGAAACGAAAATCAGTCTCTCCATGCTGAAGACTCGCTGCTTGGGAAGAAGCTGTCATCCTCCTTTGCAAGAAGGCTGACTCCTTTCCATGATCTTTGGCAAATAGCAACACTCAGATACACATCACATGCGGGTATAGTGAGTCCTTCGTCACATGACTTCATGAAGCATCCGTATTATGAAGCTTTATGGGTGTGACAGTATGACAAATCCATGGTTTCACCGACCCTTTCAATTGTCAACTGACAAACAAATAAGTCATGTGAGGCACCGATTTTCATGTGCTGGCTGGAGTGATGCTGCATACCACTCTGGATTGTGGTGGCCTCAACCGCCCTGTTCCAAGACTTGAGCTTGTGCCTCCTGTTACTACTTGCTTAATCTCCAACATAATCAATTACTCGCACTTAGGCCTGAAAACAAGAAACAAATACCCTCCTGCCCTTTCCTGTTTGTTTGTGTTTGTGTGTCTGGGTGGAACCTTGAGGCAAGCCTTAAGGGGCAGGCTGCTGAGCAACTGTGCGGCACTTGTCTGTTTCTTGTGCGCGAGCATTTTGAACCAAGCACGGCATCTGTAATCACGTTGGACCACGCTTTCGACCTCCTGGTTCCTCACGCTGCATCGGAAACACCTCCGTCAGGGCAGGAACATCGAAAGGGAATTCTGAGCCCACACCTCCGGCAAAGGGGCTTGAGAACTCCAGGGGGCTGTAGAGCTCGTCACGTGCAGCTTTCGATGTAGACACTCACACCCAATACAACATCAAGCAACTGCAAGTCTGTAATTACTCTGTCCGGTGTTTTGCCCCCTGCCTCCATTTCAAATCCTTGTGTCAGGCTGTGGACTCGCCTGGCATGGCTCCGACAGTTGTTGATGGTATCACTTGGTCTAGCGAGTCTAGCAAGCCCAGGCAACACCCGTGGTTCATGCCGTTAGTACTTTTTACGGATGAACAGCAGATCTCCAAAGCCCGCTGAACGCCAAACAAGAGGTCAACTCAGAGTCAACTCGATTGGTCAACTCGATGGACCCCAGGCCACCGACCTGTCGACAACCGACTTCAACCGACCAATCCGGCAGCAACCGAACAAGTTGCCTGAACATCAGTTGATGAAATCCTAAAGTTGATATCGCCTGCTATTACCTGTGGATGTTCCGATTTCCTCGACCCTTGCCCGTGATCCGTAAGGCCGGCTTGCGATTCTGCTCGCACAAGCCAATGGGGCAAGTTCTTGGTGGGTCATCACTCAAAAGTGATTGAATGTTTGCCTAATCAGTCTATTCAATTCTATTCATATACAGTATATTCCATGCACATGAGACTCAGAAACCAGCTTTGTTGGTAAGATTTGAGATGAACCCATGTGATGCGATACGCGAAGAGGCACTTCTTCCACTTCAAACAGCTTTAGGCCATTGGTCTAGCCGGGCACCAGCATGACACATATTCACTCCTCATCAACCCTAGCAGCCGTAGTAAGCTCAATTCACTGGCCGTGCCTGGCAAGTAATCCTCCAAGTTCGCCTGCCCCGCTTGCACCAGAGCCGCTGCCTGATGTGAACTAACGGGCCTGTTCGTTCGCTTCCACGTAAGGTGATTCACGAATCCGCTCCCCTAAGTAAACACCCTTACTGAAGTATCATAGGTCAAGCATAGCCGATGTAAGTGGAAGAATATAGAGAGGGGTATTTGGGACAATACCTAGCTGATTGCTGCTAAAGCACGTGCACAGAAGAGGAGCCTTGCTTGCCAAAGACTCCAAGTTCAGAACAGTACATAGTTGTTCCAAACAGCTTGGCTCAAAGCTTCACCAGTTTCACACGAGATGCCGGGGCTTGGCCAAGACTTCTCAACACATTCAGATACCAGCTACCAATCTATATGGGCTCCGGATGTGTTTAACATAGAGTGCCCCCAGATATGGAGGAATAGGCTAAAACTATCTAAGACTATTCGTTGGGTCTATCGGTCTATCCTATTACCAGTAACAGTGGATGATGAGTGTTTGTAGTAAAGGTCTTTCTCTAAAATAGTGATACTTGTTGACCGACTGTTGTAGGTAATAGGACAAACCCAAACTATTGGCCACACCTCCATATGCAGCTCCGCCGAGCGGTAGAGTGGCACCTCGGGCACCTGAGTCGTTGGACCAAGCGCGTTCTCCACGATCAGTTGGTCCCGTTGGAGGGTTGCCAAGAGCATCATCCGTACCACTTGAACCCAGTTTGCAAACTTCTACCGAGAGTTACCTTTCACATAAACCAAGACGTGGCTCTGTGTGTTGAGAGTTAATTGAATGTTGGAAATCGAGGCAGGCAAGATTCCCTGTGAAATGAAATTCCCTCAACTTCCTTGGTGTGATCATCATGAGTCAAGGGCTATTGTTGACGGACCAAATCCTCCACCATCCGTTATGTTTAAAAACACACACACAAATATATAAAAGGACAAAATGGACACTCAGTCCCGTATGAATACCAGTGGAACTGAAGGTTCTTATCACCCAAGGAGCGTCACTCTGCCGCAGGAGGAGCTCGATCTCAGTACATCCCAGGATCACACCGCCTGAGCTCGATCGAAGGAACGGAGGGCGAAGTGAGAAAGACGATGGAAATTCAGAAGTTAGGAATGCAGACTTTAAAATTGGTTTGGTGTCATGGAAGCATCATGCAACATGTATAGATCGTCTACTAGTACTTCTGTATTAAGTATTGGCTGAAATCAACAAAAATTCAAGCTGGCACGCAGAATAAGAACCTGAAAGCAGCAGGAACTTGTAAGAATTCAGGAGGAAGTGTCTATACATGCCAGAGGCTTTGACTGGCCAAGTTTGAGACGTTTGTGTTCCTTGCAGGAACCAAGCTTTTCGTGCCGAGCACCATTGCATGGCATTCTCGGTAGTGAAGCCACAGTTAATCTGAAGAGATCAAGAGCTCAAAAACGAAGGAGTGAGAAGTGCAATTTTTGTCTGAGTTCAAGCTCTACCAGAGCCGAGTTGACAGCGGTATATAGTGACCACAAACGGATGTGTGGTGCTTCTACAATCTTCTGCATTCGCATCTTCTGCAAAACGAAGACAAAGGCAAAAATGGAGGGAGACAAAGGCATCATCCAAAAGGTGCAGCCTCTTCCAACAGGCAGCCCTCTCATCAAGGAACACGGAAGCCCGAAAAGAGACGAAGAAAGATGCAGAAAGAGAGAATCACCGTTGAAAGGTAGAAGACCTTCCAAGCGCTCCATGCAAGGTGCCCATCTGACACAACCTCAATAAATTGGAAAGTAACTTCCAACTCCTCATATCTTGGCTGCGCCACATGTCTGACAATCTACAGGATCTCGACCTATATAAGAGTCTACACATCCTGGACCCTTGTGTTCTCAAATCGAGTCAAACCATCAAAGCAAATCAGGTGGGATGTTGGTTCGTGGGCCCGACCTTTAGATGGAACCGTCCAATCTCTCTACTTCCATAAGGATCTAGCCCCCCGACAAACTCAAAATCATCGATGTCGCTAGCCGCTAGCATATGCAATCGTCCAAAAAGCACCTGATCGTGATTGCGTTAGGTTTGGGGATCTGGCAATTAAATACATGCAAAAACCTTCCAGCGCAAGCATCCAGTGCCTGGTCGGTGTTTCTTACCAGGCCAAGCCACCATCTGCACCTTCGCTGTAAAGCTGTCCTTAGGCTGAGCGAAACACCGGGCCTTTGGGATTGCGGCTGCTTCGGATGGTTTGGGCTCTGGTCGTTTATCCCATGAATTGAGCTTGAATTGAGCTTGTTCCAAAACGTGTTTGAAAGACTTCTACAAAACTTGAAGAATCCCTCAGGCTGAGCCAATCCGGGTGCCTTTTTGCAAACCATCCTCCACAAGCCAACCTGTGAAACTACTTGTTAATTAAATTTGCTGTCGGATTCTTCCTCCACGTCAACAAATCCAGTTCAACTTCCAGATTGGTTGAAGAAAGGCAGAAAGCTGATATCACTCCAGATGCGAATCAAAGAGCTGGGCTCAACCACCCGACACCACTTTCCTCCCAGGTGCTTGCGAGGTCGGCGAAGAAACTGCGGGACTCCTCCTGAAACGTCGCGTGTGTTCTCAAGTCAGGCGAGACTCTTCTAAACGTTTTACTGTTCAGGGGATGCAGAAAAAAGGAGTTGGACTGATGACTCGATGAACATTGGGTCCAAAGTGAACAATTCAAAGCACCGAACTCGGCTCAAAGCCCATGATGACTATCCATGAGACCGACTGCTGTTTGATCTCTTTCTAGCCAACTGCAGCAGTACAGTACAGGGTTACTTTTTCGCTGTGTATCGAATCCGGAGCTAGCCCGGAGCCAGTCCGGAGCCTCAGGGTCTGGTTCTGCCTCAACAGCAGTCCCCAGGCCAAGGCTCTCCGGATCCAGCTCAGGTTTCAACCCCAGAATCCTTGAAGATCTCGAAGCTCAGCTCATCACAAATGATCTGATAGCAGCGCTGCCTCGAGCCGAACCATGGTTTTGGGTCCACCGAAAGACCTACGGCTTCTACGGTGATCCCCAGCATCTTCCGATTTCTGTGAGAGATGATGAGAGCTTTGGCTTTCATGGTTTTGGATCCAACCAAGGGCGACCCGGCTAACTCCAGGTGTCTGGCAGATCCCCAGCATATTCTCATTCAATGAGATGATATGCTGGCCTTGTTGGACTTTACACCTTTGTATTGAAATCAACTCCACAGCTGAGGGGCCGATCCTCATCCTTCTGCGGCACAAGGACCTGGACCCCATGAAGTGCTAAGCGCTCCTGGCCGACTTGGTGCGGCTGTCGCTGAAGACTTAGTGATAAATCATGATAAATCTCAGAATGAAGGGCCAGACTTGGTGCGGGCAGAGTCTGGAGAATCTATGATACTCTGGGTAGGTCTTGTAAAGGAATCGTAAACTATGGTAGACTTCCTGGGTACAATGAGTTGCTGGGAGGAATCTAATGATGACATGCAGGTGGGGTCTTCTTCACTTTCCCGGGCTGGAGTTGGAAGACATTTGAAACGGCAATAGCACGACCGGGTCCTTAAAAGAAGATGATGACTCCACAACCGCACTCCCAGTCCTCTCCCAACCCATAATCACCCTCTCCATTTGGCGTGTGGAGCATGCAGCAGTTCGTTGTCCCGACCTTCAACCAGGAGCCGTCGCGCATGGTGGGCTCCGTGCCCAGCAAACCCACGCGCTTCCCAGGAGGCAACGCCTCATTCCAGGAGTTGGAACGGGCGATTGTTCAGTCACCAGTAAAATCCAACAGTTTTTTCACACACTCCTGTTGATGCACGTAAATTTATATATGTGTATGTGTGTGTGTGCGTGTGTGTGTATATATATATATACATACTGTGTATATATATACATAAACACATGTGATTTATGACCTTCACTCAATAGTTCTATCCTGTTCTATCAGCCTTGGAAAAGGCCAAAAGAACAGCCAATGTAGGGCTCTGTGACCTGTCACCAATCTCAGCCCTGACTGCACACCTTGACACGATTTCTTTCACAGGCGAGGTCCGGAGGTACTTGCTGCGGTCTAGTGGATTCCTTCAAAAAAGGAAGTCTGAAACAACCTCACAAGTGATACCCCCTCCTACCAGAAAGTGTTTCGCAGATTTTGCAGAATGAGGTTGGAGCTATGTTGCAGGGGCTTAGGAGACTGCAAGCCTCTTATGTTGCTTGCGTCTTTTGAGTGCGCTCACACAAATTTTGTTGCCTTGCTTACCCTCACTTGGCAGATTCTAGGTTTCGCACTTTCTTGGAAGGAATTCAGGACTAAACATCTGCCGACCCCGGTCTAGGCCGATGAACATGAGCGATGTCACTCTGCCGTCACATTGACAAAAATATGCACACAAATTGACAAATGCTTTAAACTCCAGTTCGTGAGTGACCGTCAAGATTTTTTTGGCGGGAAAAGCATTGCCCAAGATTTGGCCCCGGGTTCACCTTTTGCCAGGCCTCGAATCCTCCCTCACCCCCTATGGATTGAGGCCGGGGGCATGTTGCCGCAGGGGTCCGGGCCGATGTGTTCTTCTTGGCGGCGCACGCGCGCGCCTCTGAGTCAGCGTCCATGCTTGGCTTCACCTAGCACGCCAAAGACTGACGACCTGCGTGTCAGCACTTGGATGCTGAGGTCTTGTGCCGAACCACCAGAAGGCTTGCCAAGCCCGGTCACCGTGGCCTCGCCGGAGGCCCTTTGGTTTAAGGTTATATACAGGATTGACCCACTCGAAGTCCTGCTTTACGGTGCTTTTTGGCCTTCCCATGTTGGTGGGCTTCAGGTGGTGTGCAAAGGCCCGTCGTGCGAGTTATGCTGCCCGAGTTGCCTTCCAATATTAGCATTTTGTGTCTCTGGTTGTTCTCCTCCTCTTGCTGTTGCTGTTGCTGTTGCTGTTGCTCTTGCTCTTGCTCTTGCTCGTGCTCGTGCTCGTGCTCGTGCTCGTGCTCGTGCTCGTGCTCCTCCTCCTCCTCCTCCTCCTGCTTCTCCTTCTCCTTCTCCTTCTCCTTCTCCTTCTCCTTCTCCTTCT